AAATGTACAGTATGATCAAAAGCGTATAAAATTCCAGTTTAAGTTGGTTGATAACAGAACTGAGTACAACAGCTATACAAGGTGTAATTTAAGGCTCGACTGATAAATCAAGTTTTCTTACAATTCATTTACCCAGAGCGAGCCCAGTTGGCGAAAGATGTAGACAGGAACTGCCAAATTAATGGCAGCCACGAGGAAATTTCGTCTGTATACGAACACATTCTCAGAACAAACATACTCTCATTAGTTCGATCGAATCAGAGAGACGAAACTTTACTTTTACCTTTTGGAAGTGCTCTGTAATAGTCGTATAGGGCTTATTCGATCTCAGTTAATTATTGGTTGCAATTGATGATCGTACAATAAACAAGCTTAGATTAAATATGCAATAGCATAATAGTCATTTAAAACTCCAGTTTTAAGTTGGACGATGACAGAGCGAAGTAAAATAGTTATAGAAAGTGTAATTTAAGGCTCGGATAATAGGTTAAGCTTCTCACTTTTTCATTTACCAGAGCCAGAGTCTACCAAAGTATCATCGCAACGTAGAAATGATCCAAGTCTACGCAACATACCGTGAATCAGTTCGTGTTGCACCCACAAGTCACGCATGTGTGCATTTATAAGTAATTTCCATAATGATAGATTCACAACATCTCGAAAACATTTTCAGAAATTTTCACGGCTAATGTTTTTGCGCAAGTTTGTCCAAGGCGTAATGTCTCTTGCAAATCTTCGCACAGGTGTAAGCAACCTTGGACGCGGAACAAAGAAAACGTATGTACATCACAGACAACCCTAATTATGTCTAATGATGAAATACCCGAGTCAGATCTCTATGCCTCCTTTATAATTCTTCTTTCTTCTTTGTTCGTTTGGGTTCTTCCTAAATACCTTTCTGACTCTTAGATGTAACTCTCTTTGAAACAGTTAGAGTAGGAGCTCGAGATTTCTATCGCGTGATAGTTCAACGGTTGGGGCTTAACAGTGAGAATTAATAAAAAAACGATTTGCATCTTACCGAGTAACTCTGCTGTATGTAAAATTAAAGTTCTGCCACAAAACGCATGACTTTAAGCGGAAACTGGTTTCACACGGAAAGTAGTTTTTCAAACTAGATGTTTTTATCGTTAAATTTTGTTTGGTATTCTAGAAGATAATGATCTGCTGAGAGTCATTTTTCATGATCATCTGAGCAGAACTACAGCAAAATAACTTCACATGAGTTTGCATATTCTAAACTCAAAGATGAATCCTTGTAGTGGTTCATCTGCAATCCATATCTATGTTTTGGTTGATTATTTTCTCTCCTATATTTTTCCATCTCTGATAAGGATGAGTTGGCGCGGCATTTTTGTAAATCTTTGTGACAATACTTTCTAAATATAATTCGGCTGATTGCCCTCATAATGCGTTGATTGTTATGTATCCAAAAGCAAAACATTTACGGTAACTGACGAGGACTACGAAGTCTAACGATAAATCAACAGTTGGATAAGAAGGCTTTTGCTTGAATAACAGCTCTCTTTTGCAATATACAAGGATTGCGTAAAAGATTGAGAAATGCAAAGTTGTACTTTCAGTTTCGTTTGCATAACCTCCTCAAAACTAATTACGATTTCCTGCATTAGCATGGTGCTGTCGCTAATGTGGATCACAGGACAGCCGTTAAAAATATTTTCTCGCCGCTGTAAGTGTAAAACAGAGATATTTTGAAGCATGCAATGAGTATATAAGCAAAAGCTTCCTGAATTGATCAAATATCAGTCTTGTAAATCAGCTAATTAAATAATCACAAAGCCATTCATGGCTGACTGACTTACAAACTTTCAAAAACTTTTCCTTGTTGCGAAATGATTCAAAGACATCCAATAACAATAAAAAAGACTCAAATGATTAGATTCCTATAGCTAAGAAAGGAAATTTGTTTGCCCGTAAAGGTAAAACATAAACGATTTGACTTTCTGAAAACAAAGTTAAACTTTTGCTGATGTAATAATCTCAAAAGAAACAACTTTGCGGGAAAATTGAAAACTAAGACTTCAATCCAGTTGAATTCACGATCAAAACGCAAATACCTCCCGAATTTTTCTTCCAGCTTTGTGTCAAGTGAGCTGAAAGTGATAACAAACCAAAAAAACTCAGAGCGAGGCCAGTTGACAACAGATGAAGACAGGAACTATCAAATTAATGGCAGCCACGAGGAAATTTCTTCTGTACATTAACACATTATCAGAACAAACATACGCTCATTAGTCCGATTGAATCAGAGAAAAAAAATTTACTTTTACCTCTCGGGAGTGCTCTATAATTGTCGTATGAGGCTAATTCGCTCCCAATTAATCTCTGATTGCAATTGATGATCGTACAATAAACAAGCTTAAATTAAATGCACAGTATGATCATAAGGGAATGAAACGCCAGTTTTAAGTCGGGCGATTACAGAACGAAGTAAAACAGTTATAGAAGGTGTATTTTAAGGCTCGAATAATAACCTAGTTTTTCTCACTTTTTCATTTAACAGAGCCAGAGTCTACCCAATTTCTTTTGCAAATCTTCGCAAGGGTGTAAGCTCCCTTGGACGCGAAGCATAGAAAACATTACAGACAACAGTAATGATATCTAATGATGAAATACCCAAGTCAGATCTCCAAGCCTCTTCTCTTTGCTTGGAAAGCAAGTCTCTTTTACAATATTTAAAGATTGCGTAGGAGATTGAGAAATGCAAAGTTTTACTTTCAGTTTCGTTAGCATAACCTCCTTAGAAAACTAGTCACAGTTTCCTGCATTAACATGGAGCTGTCTTCAATGTAGATCACAGGAGAGCCGTTAAGAAACACCGTCAATGTAAAAAAATAGCTTTGTCGAAACACGTAATCAGCATTTAGGCAAAACCTTCCTGACTTTATCAAATATCAGTCGCAAAACTTAGTTCAATAACCGCAAAGCCATTCATGGCTGACTGACTTACAAACTTTCCAAAACTTTTTCTTGTCGCAACATGATCCAAAAACATCCAATACGAATAAAAAGACTTAAATGATTAGAGTCCTAAAGCTAAGAAAGAAATTATGTTTGACCGTAACGGTAACACATAAATGATTTCACATGTTGAAAACAAAGTTTAAAAAGTTTTACTACTGTAATACTCTCAAAACAAACAACTTTGCGGAAAGTTGAAAAGGAAACCTTTAATCAGAACTTGAATGCCTCTAAAATTCCTGGTTCACACTTTTCATGAATGAACTTTGAAAGTTCGTTCAGAACAAATCAGTTTGAAAGTGATCACAAAACTGAGAGCCAACCTGTTTCCCGTTTGTTGATCAGTCGACAATGGATCGAGACAGGAACGGCCGAAGTTAACGTTAGCCACGAAGATATTTTTCTGTATGTGCATGTACACATTTTCAAAGCAAGCATCCGTTATTCTTCCAGACAAATAAAAGAGATCAAATGTTATTTTTACCTTTTCTACGTGCTCTATAATGGTCGTACACGGCTGTTTCAACCTCAGAATATCACTGGTTGATAATCGCATAATAACTCGGTAAGCTTTAAGTTTACAGCATGATTATAAGAGTACTGAACTCCAGCTTAAGTTTAACAATGACAGAACCAAGTAAAATAACGATAAAATGTTTCATTTAAGGCTCGAATATTAAAAAAAGTTTTCTCACCTTTCATCTACCAGAGCCACTGTGTACCAAAGTATAGTCGCAAGGTGGAAATGCTCTCTGACAACAACGTACCGCGAGTTAGTTTATGTAGCACTCACAAGTCACGCATGAATGCCATCATAAGCAATTTCCATGATAAAAGATACAAAACATTTCGAAATAATTTTCTGGAACATTCACGGCTGATGTTTTTCCGCGAACTTGAACAAGCTACTATTTGTTTTGTAAATCACTCCGAGCGAGTTGTTCTCCGGGGGGTAAGAAATTTCATTGTTTTTTAAAACGCCAGAGTTCAGAATCCATGGGTGAAAAAGCGGACTTGCTGATTGTTGCGAAGGCACGAATAAACGATGGTTTTTGCTACATCGGTTGGAATCTTGACCGGTATAAATTGGCGAGGCCATTATTATGGCTAGACAATCCTCCCTGGTCATCGAAAGATGATAAACTTAGGGTAGAAGAAACGCATTTATTCGAAGTAGTCAGCTTCCAACCTAAAAGCGGTCCTTAACCTCATCACATTGACGATGTTCACGTAAAACACGGCAAACGCTGCCAACATGAGGCGGACAAAGTTGATAAGGCGAATTGTTTGGAATTTAATTGACACAGAGCCACGGAATTGTAAAAAAGGTATTTAGCAATATGAATCCAATCAACGGGAAACTCTTCTTCGAACGTACCCGATGCCCATCTGATTGCCCTTTGTCGAAGTTCTCGTTGGGCTGAAAGCAAAACTTGGAATCCAAATATTGCCCAAAGCAATTGCAAAACTCACCAAAATTTGCATGTCAAACTAGATCCAAAAATAGAACTTGTTATACTGAAAAGCGGATACAGCGTTACCATTTGTTTTATTGGTGTAAAATCAAAGATGTAAGTGTATAAATCAAACACGAAATTAAAAACTTTAAATCTTTATACTTTTACACGAATATATTTTCAAAGGCTTTAACATTTTTTTCCGGTCCAATAATTTGTTGTGTTCGTCTTCGATATGTGAGCTCACGAGACCTTGGTCATAGACTGTTTCCCTCTGATGGTTTGAGAAGTCCATGCGATGCAATTACCTCCTCGTTTGTGAACAATTTTACTGGCTGACGCCAAAAGAGAATTTAGGCATGTCTTGACTGACCTTTCTTGCTTGCCACCCTAAAATTTGCTAGTTCCCAGTCTTTCTTGCGCGGCCGAGGGTTTCGCGAGAGATTAGCACTATTTAACAAAAGGAACGATGAGAAACGAACGAAAATCTTTTTACACGCGGACCTCTCGAGCACTACGTAAATATCTAAAATAAGAGAGACAACTAAGAACGAGTCAGCCTCAGAATGGCATGGGATCATTCGCACTTTCCCAGCAGACAACATCATTTATACCCAGTGCAGAGCGAGTTACTAACGAGTCCATTCTTCCATCATACAAACCGAACACACCTCCTGTTGGAAAATAAGACACACCCTATTAGACGTGTGCGAAACTCGCATAACAATGTTACAAATCAGGTCTCGCCATTTCCAAAGGATTGGTAACACCATCCTCTAAGCAAAAATATGAAAGTTTATCACCTGTGGATGTTGTCTTATTCAGTCTTCCAGCAAAAGATACATCTTATCAGAATTTTTGGTTTGTAGTATCGGTAACTATTTTTACGAGTTGTGACATATTTTGTCGATCACGCAGGGCGAGTCAAAACACAACCTATGAGTAAAAATACCCAGCGATACTACACACCAAAACGTCTCATAAGTTATGTATTACCCAACTGCTTTATTTCATGGGCAAAAAGTGGGAAAAGCGACGCAAATAGAGAAGTGCAGCACGCGCAGCCAACCGATTAAACAAGTTTTTGTACCGTACAAAATAACCAAATGTACAATATCATAGGAAATTTTTACTAGATTCGCGCGTTATTTATACTCTACTTGGTGCAATTGAAAATTAATGAGCAATTATTGGATGAGGTTGAGCATAATATCATAAATTAGCAATGCCGAGGTCTGAGTTATCTGCCGAAGCCGAAAGCCGAGGCAGATAACACAGATGCCAGGTTTGATAATTTATAATATCATGCTAAAACCAAATTCAATACCTGATTTATCATTTATTTTTTGAAACAATTTGCTAAAGAAGAATCTTCTCTCTGATTTTTCAAGAGTTTGAGAACACTACACGGACGAAGGGCTTGAACACTAGGCAGAATTTAAACGCGACATGAGAAACCAATATCTGCTATTGTATATGGAATGTATGCTCTCGACCAATCAGAGTCTTCATAGTAAGTCTAACGTATAATAATTTTGCTTCCACGCAAAAGAAAGTACATACCACATGCAACCATAGTACATGTCACGGACCACTGATACTTCTACGAGGGATCAAAAATGGGATCTCAAGGTTGCAATTTACCTACCTGGTTGAGAAAAATATCATGGTATGTACAATTATTTACCAAAGCTGCTAGCCAAGTTCAGTAATCGTTTTTTTCCTCTTTTTCATTTGATTAATGAGTTTCGTTTTCCACATCATTTACCAAAATCACTCGTTGACAACTTAAGGTGATGTACCTTTTTCCTTCAGGCTGACAAGCGCACAACCACGCATGAGCAGAATATCATTTGCAGGGAAATCGCATTTCCAAGGGATTACCTTTGAGAAACCATTATTTTTAAGGTATGCGGGCTCTTAGCCATAGGGAAGGAGGTATTCATCACAGATGATGTTGATAAATTGTACTCACCAGTATGAATATAAAGTATTCTGTGACCCTTAAATCGCCCTGGGTTGGTGTTCATCTCGTGTAGCATTCCTCTAATGGCTTTGACGTTGTACACGGGGTCCACCATAATTCCAGTTGTTCTGGATATCTCCACAATGTCCTCTTCATGAACAGATACAAAGATATCAGGGTTCGTAAGGTGCAAATTCAAATGCAAGGGTTAAGTAAATTTTAAATCATGTTTTTATTTGGTAATCATGCAATTTTGAATGCATTTTGGAATAAATAAGGAATAAATAAGCAATAAATTATAATAACTATGGATATAATTATCCATTATTATTGTCTTGCACAAACCTGTGGTAAAGAGGGGGGGAGGGATGGGGGCAGGTAAACTTTGAGGTCTGAAACATCATTGAGTGATCATTCCTTCTAAATTGTAAAACAGATACACTGATCGCTTGTTAACAGAGTACATATCATTTTAACTTTCAGCCGTAAAATTTCAGCTTTTAATTTGCACTGAAATAAATCAACATGCTATCAGCCAGAGAGCATTCTGAAAACAAATTTTTCTTGTTTGGCGTTCGTACAGGATCAGAAAGAAATGAGGGGCAAACTTTTTTTCATATTTTCGAGTTTTGAAAAGGTTATTTACTAATAGATAGAAATAACTCTTTTCAACTTGCATGTCATTTCAGTACCAAAATAAGCAGGTTATTATTTAATATATTATGTAGAAGACTACAAGAAACCCATCCTTTTGAGCAAAGTCTATAAAAGTTGTGTGACTCAAAAAGGAAAAAAAAAGGGTGAAGAAAAGTTAGTGCGCTGCTGGGAGCTTACATCAATTTTTAAAATTTTTTTTTTTTTTAAATTTGCCTGATAGACGTCTCCAAAAAGGAGGGACTGCTTGTAGTCTAATTATGAAGAAACCAAAATCTGCAAAATTATTTGAATAAACACCAACCTAACTCTTCTTCAGTGGATTTGCCATAGCCCTTTCCTTTGTATCCATCAATAATATCAATTAACTCTTCTGCTTGAACATCTAGTCCACCTATTTGAAGGTCTTCATTGATTTTCTGGTAAAAATATGCTGCATCATCACACACGTTCACTGCATGACATCTATGAATAAATGACAATGATGTTACAATTACAGGTCTCAATTAGTCTCCAGTGTTCAAAGAAAACAAGGGGAAACTTTTAGAAAGATAGAAAGGTCTGTGAGAAATTCTCAAGAAGCACAATCTCTTCGTCTGAAGTCTTAAGCAGGTATAGCTTAGGTAGTTGAAGAAATAGTTTGTCAGGGGTTCTTGAAAGGTGATATAGAATTTCAATGGAAACTATAACAAAATACTCTAATGTGATTGGTCATCACCAGCCCAAATTAAGCACAAATAGGACAGTGTATGTGTCATGCTTCTGTCTGAACAGTGTAATAGGACAGTTGATGCGTCATGTCTGTATGAGTCGATAGCATGTGTCATGTGCACACCTTGTTATGAAAACGCACAACCAATACATCTAGTTTCTTTCTCAAATTTGTCAGTTTTGATAAATTGGTGACAGGACTAAGTGTTAACATTAATATAACCGACTCCCACTTCAAAGTCATCAGATTGTATTAATCACTTGTAAGATAACAGACCGAATTGAATTCCACTCAGTCCTATTATTTCTATTATTATTATTATTATTGTTATTATTATTTTTCCTAAGACAAGTAAATTCCTGGATGTAAATTTAATGAAAAAAATTTAAAAAAAATCAAACCCTTTAGATGAAGAAAAGCAATGGTGGCAGTGGTGCCATAAATGATTGCAGAGCTCTGTATATGCAGGCCTCCTGAGATGCAAACAGCAAGAAGAAAAGAAGACAAAGAGTGCTGATCAAATGACAAAATCCTTAATGACTACGTGGGGACAAACCAGCCAGACTGGAAAATATTTGGTTCCTGGTCATAATGAACAGATTAGTCAGAGAGAGGTCTATATGTCATGACCTTGAGCCAGATTTTTTCTTGTCCAGCCCTTCCACACAGTCAAGAAAGAAAATATCAATATTTTTATTCAGAGTTTACTTGAGTTTTGATCCTGTTAAATAGTTACCAATGGCAATTCCTGATGCACTTCCACCACTGTCAACTGTAACAACAATGTCATCAAAATTCTTCAGCACATTCTGAAACAAACAAAGCTAACTTTTTGACAGATATCCAGAATAAAGTATTTTAACAAACAGGCTTTTGTGTGATCAGGGTTTAACTGCATTCATCACCTCTTGACCAGAAATGCACAAAATGAGTACACAATGTAGAAAAAGCTTGTATTTTTACCTGATCTATCATTTCTTGAAATGCTGTTAAGTAACCAAACATCCCCATGTAAGAGGAGCCTCCAACTTCAATCAGATAAGCTGATGAGCCCTGTTCTTTCCTGAAAAAAAAAGCAAACAAAGTCAGTAGGAAAGAACTTTAACATCTACAAACATGCCTTGGCATACATGCTGGGTTTTCATTGAGAAACAGAAGTAGGTGAGGCAGGTAAGTAAGCAAGTAACTTGAGGAGAATACTCTCCATATCTGGGTCAAAAATAACCTAGCCCATCAAAACTTAGTTCAAGAATTCTCCAATATCTGGTGCCTTCTTTACTCACTGCATAATAATTATAATAACAACTCTCTTGAGTTTTCCTAGCATTTCCCCAGAGTCATACAAAAGAGTAGAATCTATTGGTCTCCTGAGTGGTTTATATAACCTCCTGGCCAACAAGAAATTTAGAATCACTTTAAAATAGGGAACACCAAGAAAACATTTACCTTCATTACAAATAAATTAGGTGTTTTATTCCCCAAGAGTGATTAAGCAAACAGTATCATCCCCAATTTACTCATTAAGGTCACATGAATAAAGGAAATAATTATCAACAACAGAAGCTCTCAAACAATCAGTGATTATTTATCAGATTCTCCTTGTCAGCACCTTAGGAAATATATAGAGAAGAGCATAGAGAACATGTATACTGATGTTAAGGTGTAAAGGGTTAACAGATGAAGATGTGTCTGATTTGCAGAACCTTTCACTCCCAAGATCTCATTAATATTTCTCCTTACTGTACTGTGTGCCACACAACTCTTCTGAAGTTAGTTTGGAGAATTTTGTATTGTTCAAACTAATAATTCCTTAATTGATACTTTTCTTAAAGAATGCTTTAAGAGGCTTAAAGAATGGTTGACCTGTTTTATTCATTCCTCTCTTTCTTTTTCACCTTTTTCTTCACTCATAATTTATTAAACTATTTATTATTTGTTCATTCATATTGGGCTTCTTGTATCCAGTTGCTTTCAGATTGTGGTAGAAGACTGGGACATAGCAGTAAATTATCAAACTAAGGGGAGAGGGAGTGGGTCCAATCCATAATAGTCCATTTTACAGGTGTGTGCTTGGTTGCCAAGCCTTTCAATAGGAGTGAGACTAAGGGTGACCATGTTATGATACAAACCTTGCTCTTTCAAATGTAAATTGCTTTGTTGTTAAGCTTACTAGGTACTGGTCTCTATCACAACAAGGTCACCCACAGCCTCACTTCAAATCAAAGGCTTGGCAACTAAATACAGAACTGTAAAAAGGCCTAAACTTCTCAAGATTTCTGACATTCTAAGATTAGCACCTAAAAGGCTGCATTGTAGATATGACTCCATTTTCAATTCCTTTAACCCTTTCACTCCCACAAGTGACCAAGACAGAATTTCTCCTTACAATATAAATACAATATAAAGCAGGCAGGTGATGAGAATAGAGAAGAATATCAATCATGGGATTATTAGTTGATCCAATACCAAATTCTCTGAACTAACATCATAAGAATTGTATGGCAGATAGTAAGGAGAATTACTAATCAGATCTTGGGAGTGAAAGGGTTAAAAGGAACCAACTTGAGAGCCATGCAATAGCAGCTCCTGTAATATTTTTGCTTGCCTTCATGTTTTAGAAGATGCACTAAGGTGGTGGCCATCATGATTTTCATCAGTTTACACCCCAAAGATGGTACTGTTCAACTAAAATGTCCCAGGCATTACAGTAAATTCATGCAGTTTTTTTAAGCCTTTCAAGCAAGTTTTGCCAGTGAGATCTATCCCTGCAACTAAACCTGTTACTAGTAAATTAACACATAGTCAATTCCACTGTAAAATGGCTGCAACACAAATTTCTTCAAAAGAATTTCAATATTTTCATTGGCAATTATAATACAGTGAGCTGGTCCATTACCGTCACTTAGTGACAGCTCTGTTTAAAAGTAAAGCCTAATGTCAGTTTGAGGAAGATTACTTTTAATGATTGCAACCATAGTAGCGCCAACTTGCTAGGTTTTACAGTTCTCTGACCTTTCACTTACAGTTTTTCAGATACTTTCTCCATCATTTGTTTAAGGCCAGATTTGTACTGAAGCTGAGGAACAACAATAATTTGACTTCCAACCAATTTGTTTAAAAACAGGTTTCCTTCACAACCAATATCCTTGCTCTGCATGAAGAAAAAAAGATCAAATGAAAGTTTCAATAAGTTTATTAACTTTCTTAGAGTTTCACCATCTATGTAAGGCAAAATTGGTGCCTTTTATCTCTGAAATGAGCAACATTAGAGTAAAGATTGAACTTCTGTTAGCTGCCTATTATGCAGTTTTTTCTGTTTGGTTCAAATCTCAAAGAAACATCTGCTCAACTATTGTAACAGTGTATTTGTAACAGTGTAGTTGTGAATCATCTCATCTTCATATGAGTCCACTGTTCAATGCAGTGTGATGAGCTTCTATTTCACAAACAGATTCCATCTTTTGCAAATAAAAAAACAAAGATTGTAGGTTTTGAGCTTGGTAAAGAAATATAGAAAGATATTTTTTCGTCTTGTTGTGAGTGTGGGAAAAGAAAAAGTTCTGAGATTCCATGTTGTTGTGTATTTGTTGAGTTGTTGTTGGTAATAGATCACATGGACGCTATTCTTTGTCTGATTAATCATAACTTGTGCTTAGGGGTAACAGATCTTTGATCATGACTCAAGCAGCTTAAAATCTTCTGCATCAGTTCTTTCTTAAAAAGTTAAAAGTAAATTAAATACTTGCCTGTTCAGGACTTCTTAAGAACAGGTAACAATCCAAACCAAGTTGTCTTGCAGCAACTGCAGTGCTTCTGCAATGATTGGACTGGATTCCACCACATGTAAATATTGTGTCACACTTCTTATCCAGGGCATCAGCCAACAAAAACTCCAGCTTACGAACCTAAAAAAATATTAGCATAGCTGAATGAGACAAGCACAATTTAAGGTTACTCAGCAGTTGAGGATGCACTTAACCCTTTACACACTCAAATCAGTTTACATATTCTCCATACTGTTCTGTATACATTTCCTAAGGTGCTGGCAAGGAGAATTTGTCTAACAATCAAGAGCTTCTTAAGTAGGTGATCATTTGCTTTATTCCCATGACCTTAATATGTGATCAAGGCGTGATTTGTAAGGAGAAATTAGATACTAGTCACTGAAAGGGTTAGTAAGAAAAAGATATGAGATTATTTTGACCACAGGTACAGACATAATTGAAGCTACTCATTTCCGTATAATTTATGGTCACTTTACTCAGATGATCATAAGGTAATATTATTATTACTGTCATTTGCATTAGAACTGCTATACTCTCTTTTGCATTTGTTTCAGCATAACAGCAGCTTCCACATTGCAATATTTTCAAACAATAGTGATCATCCACAGATTTTCATCGCTCACATGCAAAACTCTAGGTTGAACCATCTTCAGCTATCTCTTGATTGAGACCCTCAGCTATGAATACAGGACATTTCGCACAAAAGACTTTTCGCACAAGTCTCTTACTTGAAGAAAGGAACAAATCTTTCTCTCTATGAAAATGTAGAGAACTCCCTATTCGAATGATTACTTCTTTTACTTTTCCTTTGTTAAACGAAAAACCTTTTAGTTTTGACAGTACATCATCCACTACAAACAAACGAACATGACGATCCAACGCGAAGGACGCCATGTTGATTTCGAAAGTAATTGTCACCAATCCTCCCTCCTCTGAAGTCAAAGCAAAAACCTGCAAACTGTTTCACTTTTTTTTTAAAAGGAGAAAAGACTTATTTACAAAATTTCTGTGTAAATATATAAAATTCAAGTTCATGGCCATGTTACCCTACGAATCATGCAAATTTCAACTCGCTACTCGGTCAAGACTAGTAGAAATTTAGCCCTTTCCTACATTCATTTAAGCTATAATACATCTAAATTTCAAGAAAGAATAGTGATCGTGTTCACGAGTATTTTGATCTAGTTGAAGTTATTACGTAAATAAATGTATACGTTCTCGCCGTTGGATTATGTGAAGGTGAAATGTCTTATCAGTATCAATCAGTATACCTTTTATATTGATGTTTCTCACTTATGATTATTGTGCGAAATGACCACTAAGAATTGTGCGAACGGTCCAAAACTTGTGCTAAAAGACTTGTGCGAAAAGTCTTTTGTGCGAAATGACCGGTTACCTCAGTTATACAAAAAAATATCATAAGCTGTAAGGTCTTAAATTTGAGAGGATAAAAACTTGAAAACCAAAGTAGCTGTCACTGTAAAAAAGATGTCTGTACGCTCAAAACAGGCTAGCAAAAATGTAACCGCTATCACAGTGGACTTCCTCTCTCTTTCGTGTGAGCAGTTTAATTACTACATACTGCATTTATCAGCATCATGATGCATTCAATGCTTCGATCACAGTTGGAAATTTTAAGTGAACCAGACTTACCCTTTTGAATGTGAATAAGAATAAGAATACATGAAAGTCATATATTTGTACTGCGGAAAATACATTTTAAGCAAATGAAGATCATCGCAGTATATACTCAACTTAAGCAGTTGAGAAATAAGGCCTGAAAAAAATTCAGGCCTGAACGGGAATCGAACCCATGACCTCTGCGAATACCGGTGCAGCGCTCTAACCAACTGAGCTATCAAGCCAACTGGGAGCTTTTCCGCAGTACAAATATATGACTTTCATGTATTCTTATCACACCTTCTCCATCTACGGGTATATAACGAACTCACAATTGACCAGCTCTCACCCCTGCTCCCAGTTGGCTTGATAGCTCAGTTGGTTAGAGCGCTGCACCGGTATTCGCAGAGGTCATGGGTTCGATTCCCGTTCAGGCCTGAATTTTTTTCAGGCCTTATTTCTCAACTGCTTAAGTTGAGTATATACTGCGATGATCTTCATTTGCTTAAGATCATTCCTTGTTAACATAAATTTTTCCATGGCCTACAAAAATGTTTAAGATCCAAGTAACAGAGGTTTTAGATAATAAACTTGATATTACTTTCCTTTGTTCTATTAGTGAGAAGTTAGTCAGTTACATGCTGACCACAGACCAGTACATTGGACTCTGTCCATAAATGCTCAGAACAAGAATAAGGGGGTGTACGTCTTAGATACATTTTTTACATTTTTCCGGGGAAGAATGCCTCCTTACATACCCAACCCCCCTCCCCCCTAGCCCGTTCCCAGAAAGGTGATGGCCGAGCGCGGTATCACACTCGATGGATATGTGGTCGAACATTTCACCCTTTACCAGAAGTCAAACTCGAGAGCGCTGAGTAAAGCTTTTTTCATATTACCTTACCTTAACATAGTATCGTGGAATATTTTTCAGCTTGGAGGCCCATTTTGGGGGCTCGTAGTGGTTAAGTTAAGTTAGCTTGTTTATGCCACGATGAAGATTCCTACTCATTCTCGAAGAAAGTAGACACTACCAGCCGAAGTTCAATAACCAAAATCATGCCATATATTGAAAAATTCGGTTACAATTTTATATGATTTTGCGACATTTTGTCGTTGCTTGTGATTAAGTTTGATTGATGTCAGCGGACTTTGAAAGTCAAAACATATATTATGTAAGAAAGCCTCAAAATTCTATTACCTCTTATCGAGCTTGAGATGCCTGTGGTAAAGAGTCCTGTTACTTGTTGTCATCCTCAAGTCAAAATATGACTTAATTCATTTAGGGGAGAGGGGGAGGTGCCTTTGACCCTCCTTCCCTCCCCCTGTCTTTTCTCAGATAATTCTCTTTTAAGTGTATCACATAAAAATCTTATAATTCAGATTTACGAAAACGCGCGATTACGAGGAATCTTTACATGCATAATGTAAATCTTTTCCGGCGCCAGATAACCCCTTCTAAAGTCCGTTCCTTCTCACCCGAACCCGCTATACGCGAAGAAAGAGCAACGGTATAAGCTAATTCACGTAAGGTGCACAGAAATGTTTACCAGCCCTACTCCCGGCGTACTTTCCTATAAACACTTACAACGCCCCTATGTCATGATCTCTTAAATTTGCTAAAAACTAAGTGGTTGGTTTCTGATCTCAATAATGCGCGACTCCTTTAAATCAGTCGCCCAATTATTTTAGCAGCAAGATCAAGTGATTTGACGTTATCTTACACAGCGTGTCAAACAAAGAAATTCATCGTACCCATTTTCTGTGTACTAAACCCATGAGTGACCAAGACAGAACTTCTCCTGACAATATCAATACAATATCAATACAATATCAATACAATATCAATACAATATCAATACAATATCAATACAATATCAATACAATATCAATACAATATCAAACAGACAAGCGATGAGAATAAAGAAAAGTATCAATTAAGAAATGATTAGTTGAAACAATACCCAATTCTCCGTACTAACTTCATAAGAATTTTGTGGCTCACAGTAAGGAGAATTAATAATGAGATCTTGTGAGTAAAAGGGTTGGCAGATCAGACACATCTTCAAATGTTAACCCTTTACAACCTAACATCAATATGTATATTCTCCATACTGATAGCTAAACATTTCCTAATGTTCTGACAAGGAGAATTTGTTTAACAATCAGGAGTTTCTGAGGTTGGTGATCACTTGCCTAATTCTCATGACTTTTGAATTTGATTCAGTTGTGACATTGTAAGGAGAAATTATGCACCAGTCCCTCTTAGCTTGAATCCTACGCATCGAGGTGCGTTCACCAGACTTCGTAAAGCATATCAGACAAAACTTGCCTTTTTTAAAGTGTTTCCATTCTTTGTTGAACTTCTCGTGGTCTCCACCCCACCAGCTATCTTTTCATAATAGATTACAAGCTCTCTTACATTAAAAACATTTACGAAAAAAAAAAGCAAATCTGTTTTCTACTTTGAAGTCAATTGGTCAGTTTGAGCAATCAGCTGCGCTTCAGGAGTGCAAAAGCTTTAGAATGGTAAGCTGTTTGTTACCGTAAATTCTGCGTAGCTAACAGCCCCCAGGGTAGAATATATTGCGTTGTGCCAGCGGACAATGGTTGACTTTTCAAAACAACTCTTATTTAACGGTATCTGTTAATTGCAACTCTATTGTGTGGTCTTCTTTGTTTTTATTCTTTCAGCTTGGTCCCGACGCAATTATATTTCTCTTTTATGTTTCTTTAAATGCGGCTTAACTCATTTTTTTTAAATTATAACCTCGAGGCTATTTCATAGGCGACCGTGAAATAATTTCTTGAGGAGCACACGTCTGTGTTTAGTTCGGCAGGATTTTTGTCTTTTTTAGCGGGAAATGAATATGCATGTTAAGTGCTAAAGTGTTTATCAAAACAGAAAACTATTGACAGTCTTCGCACGGAAATCTGGGACCCGCAGATCCAACTGCAAGAACTAAAAGGACTCGATCTAGTCTCTGTAATATTGTGGAAAATCGTACTTCAGCTCTTACGAGCAGAAAGCTTTTACGAGCCGAGATTAAGACAGGGTTTTATCAGGTAATTACGAAAAATGAAAAAGTTTTCTGTCGCAAACGTTCCGCCTCGCTTTGATTTGAGTCATTTACCAAACGCTGGAGAGGAGGGTGATTCTCACCTGTTTTGCCACGGAAAAACAGCAAAGCTATACTCGAGAATAGTAGGTTTTCAAGACGAAAAACAGGTCAGTACATCACGGAAAAGAAAAATAGAAACAAAATAACAAACGCTTCCTGAATAAAACCCAAAAGTTTGTATTTATTCGAAGTAATGATCGACTTTGGAATTTCTAACTCTGTTGTGTACCAGTACTACTCAGAATAATTTGCTTGACTGAACATGGCTTCACAATCGAAAATTGAGGTTATTCTCTGCAAAGACATAAAAAAACCCACAAAACGCTTTGAAGACACTATGTAGATTTGACAACTCTTTCTGAATCAACTTTCATCATAGAGATACAGTATTTTTGGTAAAAGCAACAGACGGCACTTTCTATTGGTTTACTGGAATGATAACCCACTTGGGAAGTTGAGAGAACACTCGAAATTAATGACACAGGATGCGGCAGTCGAGCAAACTCAAGTAGGAACGAGGAGGATTCAAGGATTTCCAAAGCAATTTATTGTAAATGCGAACCAACAGCAATACAGCAGGCAAATTACATCAGAAAGAAAACCAAAATAGAGTAAACGGAAGTAAAATAAAATCTATTATCTAAGACTGTGCAATTGTTACCTCATGTCACTCTGTTTGTGTGGCAATCATAGGTGACGTCTAAACCCAACTGATAACATTCGCGATTAAAGAACGTGAGCTAAAACAAGAAACTACAGAAACGCCCGGAACACACAAAGCTGGCGCCTTACCACATTTTCCCTCAGATGAAAATTGAATTGCTAACTACAGAATACGTGATATTAGGGTAAAAGAATCTGGCGTCATTTCTTCGTTAATTTTAATCTCAGCGCGTTGGTCCCCCTATGAATTAGAGCCAATCAAAAGCGCGCCTTCAGTAAATAACCTACCCGCGAATCTTACACCCAATACATATAAATTTCTACTCGAACTTACTTTCGGTTGTAAAAGCCTTCCTTCGGATAAAAAGGAAGGAGCTTCTTTTCTTCTTTTAATCTATTTGACTGAACTCTGTATTCGTTTAGAACCGCCCTACGGCGCAACTCAGTAGATTTAACGGAGACCTATTCCAGTCTTTGCCGTTCTGCCTC